CAAACTTCCAACATGAGATAAAATTATGAATGCCATGAGATGCATGAATTTGCAAACATTTCAATTTACCTAAGGCTCAATTCAATTTACGAAAATAAAACAACACATCTCATATTCCAAAGAGAATCTTAATTCCATAAATTCAACAACATCCACACTCAATAAAGTAAAAAAAAAAAAAATCTCAACAAGTTCACCAATTCGATCATCATTCATGTTTTGATAAATTAACATCTCAATTTCATATTACATTGCCCAATTGAACCAAAATCCTCAAAGTAAAATCAAAATTAGGATTTAGTAAAATTTTAGGGCTTTTCCCTTACTTGCATTTTAAAACCAAATAATCTCCATCAAACATCTCTATTTCCATGAACCCCTTTATAGGTTTGGAAAAAATTTCCTATTTGAACATCAAAAGCCCATACATATCAAAGTTATTCATCTCGTATATCAATATAACTAAGAAAGTACCACATATATACTTCAAATCATAGATATACTAAGTTAAAAGTACCCTTATCTCAAGGGTGAGAGCAAAGGAAACTTTGAAGAAATTGTAGACCAATCGGTCAAAGTGTTGATCTCTATGTGTCCTTCACTTTTAATTGTGGGCTAGGGTGGATTTTTTTTGTATGAGAAGATGAAATCGAGAGTTTGAGGCTAGGGTTTTCTAGAAAAGGGAAGAATGAGAGAGCCGAAAGTAAGAAAAGTGATACATTTGAGGCTAAAAAGTCGATTTTAATTTGTTGATCCCGAACAGACCGCTCGAATGCTTATACCTACGCTCGAGCGCTGTGAGAGCGAAGACCGCTCAAGCAATAGCTCCATTGCTCGAGCGAAGAAGACAAGCTCCCAGAATCTCAGGCTTAAAGAAAAATACCGGATGCCTCAAAAGAATGCTTGAGCAAACATTGTATTTTCCAAAACTATTACAAATAGATTATTGCTTTATCGAAGAAAAAAAAATGATACGGTGATTTATTTGAAATTGATGGATAGTTGTTTTCCAAATGTATGGATTGTGTATTAATTATGATTAATTATACATGTTACGATTGTTTATGGGGGGAAAATTTAAAATTGATTAAATTTTACATTTGGTCAACTATGTCGCATTGAATAGATTAGCAATTTTGTAATGTCCCAGGTCTTGGACTTGACTTGAATGTGTTTATTCGGACGAATTGCTTTGTTATCAGAGCCTTGAGAATCATGCAATATCGTTAAGATTCTTTTTATGACCTTGTTTAACTCTTCTTAACATTTCTGAGTTAGAAATTTTCGTGTTTCGGATATAAGGATGGTTTAGAGAAGTGTAGGATCACCTTACAAAAAATTAGACATCGTCAAGTTTTTCCCGCTTGTGCGGTCAGAAGGGCCCAAACGTGCGGATTGATGCAAGGGAAAATGGGCTTTCTAGGAGCAGAGCCCTCACATGCGGAGAGTTGGGCCGCACATGCAGCAAATTGAGGCATCTTTTGAATTTCTTTCTGCAACAAACCGCATCTGTGACCTTCTGTATTTTTGTCTTGATTTTTGAACACTCAACACTCAAAATCTAATCCCCTCACCCTTTTTCCCTCACTTTTCTTCATTCTTTCTCTCTCTAAACTCTTTTTCTCTATTTTCTCTCTACCAACACACCCAAACTCTCACATTTTCTCTAATACACCAAAATCTATTGAGTTTTAGATAGTAGAAATCGACGAGCACTCCAAAGGGCTACATGTTGACCCATGGAGATAATTTTCGATGTCATCAAATTTTGGAGCTTTTTTTTCTTTTTCTCTTCTAAGCTTGAAGTAAGGATTTCTTAACGTTGTATACGTATTTTAGCTCTATTATTTGCTACTTTGATGGTTAGAAATATTAGGATTTTGTAAATTTATATTTACTACACAAAAAGGGGGAAGTTCTTGAATATTTTTCTGAACTTTCAATTGTTTAAAATTTATCTTTAAAATGAGAAATGCCCAAATTTTTTCCAAACCCTAGAATTGTTGAGATTTGAGCAAATCAATTTTGTATTAAGAAATGTTAATCATATGGTTTGATTTTGATGATATCTAAAATATTATGGGATAATCTGTATTTGTTCATATATGTACGGGGAAGAAATAATTCTCCTCGTATAATCCTGTTGATTAAGTCCATGCTCCTCCGTACGACGTCGCTTTGTCACCTGAAAACACAAACGTGAGCTAGCCGGCGGGTGTGTGCCGAAAACCTCTCTGATGCCTAAGTCAGAAAACTTGACAAATAGACAAAGCTCAATGTATTCAGGAAGCAAAATTGTATGTTGTGTTATGTTACCTCCTCCAAGGTGATGCTTGTGAGCTTTTATAGATTTCGAGCGGCATAATCCTAGTAGGACTTTTATTTCTCCATGCAGAGTCCTCATAGGATTCATACTCCTAAAGGATAATGCTTATCCTTTTACACCCCCCCACTGCTTAAACCAAGTGGGATGGTTTTCACCATGGCCGAACTGCCATTTGACCGAGGTAAAAATGGCTTTGCTGAGCCACAAAATGGGCCGAACCAACGATTCGCGACCGGTATAACTCCAAGACCGATCTAACTTCAAGCTACTTCCGAACCGAAGTAGCTTCACATCTTGACCGAAGTGACTTCATCTCCTTGACCGAAGTAACTTTACAATTCTGAGCCGAAGTAACTTCGTCTCCTTTAGCCGGAGTAACTTTATTTCTCTTGGGCCGGAGTAACTTCTCGGCCCTTTTTTCCCCAACCCGTCATATACTGGGCCATAAAGTCCATCTCATAGCTCGGCCCAATTTTCACCAAAAATTACCCTCTCAATTGCCCCTTAATTCCAACTGCACAGCATGATTGGGATTACCAAGTGACCAGCCGAGCTAACGTTTTTAAGCCTTTCCAGCCGAACTAAAAAATCGTTTTAACCTCTCCAGCAGAGCTTATTTTACTCCGGTTCTACACGTTCGGTCAAAATGTCTTTTCAATCACTGACTGTAACGCTTCACTTTCCAAAGACACGTGGCAGTCTTTAATAGGCTGTGAGCAACTGTTACGCCGCCCTCGTACCACGAAATTTTTGAACAGTCCCGCCCCTTTTTGCCGCTTTTTCTCTCTCATTTTTCACAAAACCACCCTTTCATTTCTGAATCACTCACTCTACTCATTACTTCTTTTCTCCCTTGCTCCTGAGCCCTGAGTTTGTGCTTGCTGTGTTCGTGCCCTCCATTAAGCTTCTTCCTTTCTACTCTGGTAAGCAAATCTATCCTTCTTGCTCTGTTCATTTTTGCATTTGTTTCTTGCTTTCTATGTTTTTGCGAAACATTTTTCCTCCATTTCTGCTTTGCTGTTTCTGTTCTTATATAAAAAGAACTTTAACAGTAGAACACATGTGTGT